TAATTCTTGATCGACACAGATGAGATTAAATCGAGAATTTTTTCGTATCATCTGGAGAGTTTCCTGTTTTAGATCGCGTGTGCGACGATATTATATATCGAACGTTGTGAACGTGACTAGGATTCTCGGAAGAGACAAGCCTGTTTCCTCGCACCCTTTCCGCACTTCTCGGTATCTAAACACTCAGGATAATCGTCCATTTCTCGGCACGAAGAAACGCAGGAATCACACGTTCCTCTTCGTGCGGCACGGAAGTTTTTGATTCGTTGAAATTCCAGTCCCAACGAAGTAGTACTATTCGGACTACTGGATGTTTCCTGTATCGCGTATTCGCGCAACGTCGTCACCCTTCGAAGATACCCCTGTATACACTGCGGATCTCAACGCGATGGACGAGCGAAAGAAAAACGGACGAAAGAGACGAGAACGCGAGATATTCTCTCGATTCGGCAAGAGAAAAGGAGAAAGGATTAAGTCCACTCGGCCACGTTCCAGGCGTGGCTTCGCGGCTGTTGGAGATCCTTTGTTTCAGAGGGAGGAAGATCTCTCCGACCACGTTCGCGATAGATGCGGCAGATAAATCGCACGCGCGCGCGCGCGCGCGCGCGATCAGCGGTGGAATCAAAGATAAATGAACTTTTCCCGTGTCGAACGTGCTCGGGTCATCGAAATGCATCGCGGCAAAGGCACCCTTCTGTGACGAACGTAATCGTGACGAACGTGATGAATGTTTGCTTGAGAATCATAATTGAATTGCCTCAGAATGGAGAACGTTTTTGATCGGAAATTGATAGATGATAAGAGCTCGAGTTGGAACTGATAGCTGAACATGCATTTATGTCAATGCAAGTTTTTCAATACTTATAATTGTATGTATAGAAGTGATTGAAACTCTTATCGAATATTAAAATTGTATATTTATATTTTGTTATTATTTTTCATAAAGTTTGTTTTTAAAATATAATTTGATAATTATAATCACACTCACTATAATATACTTTAAAATATATATATATATAAAGAATTGGCTTAATCTATTCTGTCATAAACTGACATAAGAGCATAAATAGTTAATTTGTCATTTCATGAGTAATAATTATTTAGAAGTAAGGAAATGATTGATTGGCAATTTTAATTTAAAAATTAGTATGTCGTTAGTATCATGAGCATACATCATTTTTTTATTACATTTATTATATTTATAGTTTACGAGATTACTGAGAGCATGCTATTTTTTTCTGCGTAATTTTCTGCGAAAGCCTAATTAAGATTAAAGACGCATAGCTGATGATTGCAATCCTTTTTAGCCTATTCTAGATTAGATGATCGTATATTTCAGGACGAGAAGGACTTGTCGGCAGCGGACGCGGAGGGTGTGTGGTCGCCGGATATCGAACAGAGCTTCCAGGAAGCTCTTACCATATATCCGCCATGTGGTCGACGCAAAATCATCCTTTCCGACGAAGGGAAGATGTACGGTGAGTGCCACATATATATCTCTATCTATATCACAAAAAGTTCTTTTGTGCTTCATGCACTCCCACGTATACATGAATGTGATAGTCACGCAATTGACAAGGTACGTCGATAAGAATGCTGGGTTAAATTAAATGGTAATATTAAAAAAAACAATGCATGTTATTTCATATAATATACGCACAATTTTTTTTTTATTACGATTCAGTCCCGAAAAGAATATTATTATTTATTAGAGAATATCATTGTTTTCTTGAAAAAGATTATCTCTGTAAATGTAGCGTTATTTTGAAATAAAAATGTATATGATATTAATTTAAAAAATGCAAAAAAAATTATGAGCATGTCAAATATTAATCATTACTATTATAGTTTATTAAAATAACATGAGACTTTTAGAATTTTGAGAAGATAAGAAAAGAAGAAGAGAAAAATGACTTTTAATCAATTTTTTATTTCTATTGAATTTGATTTATTTTCAAAATACGAACTTTCTGCGACTCGCGCGATATTATGATAAAGTTAATTTAATACCTAATTAGCGAAATGCCTATTATGGCATTTTATCATTTTTTGGCAAATCTTTTCTCGCAAAGCGCATCTCGCGACAAAACTCTACATTCGACGTCACATTGTGTCAAAGTAACGTCCCTAATGTCACCCGATGGAAAGTTCAAGGAAAGAACATTTTTTTCCATGTGATGATCGCACCACCGACGAGCGATGGCAACCTCCTCCGCTCGCCGTCCTCCACGTACGCGATGACGGCGACGGAGAAACGTCCAGACGGGCGTCGTTATTGCTCCGGTGCTGAGGTCAGTCTACGTGACTGACCAGATATTGCCTAGTACGAGACCGGCGATACCGCCGTGGCCACCGCCGTAAACCACCACCACCATTAACCGCCATGAACTCGCCACCGGAGCAATAACGTCTCGCCTTCCAAGGAGGAATATTCGCCCCTTTGACTGCCCCCGGCGAACCCTTACTTTTGTACCCTCTTTGTGCGTCTTTTGTATTAATTTTCTCGCTTTCTCGATGAATTCGCCTTATACCTTTGCTTTCTTTATGGAGAACTATAATGAATTGCCATCGATTTGAGTTGGTCCAACGGAACACGACGGTAACAATAAAAACTCTAATTAATGATCAAGTATACAATTTGCGTAAAATTAAGCTGTAAAATATCAAATTTCAGAGAAGTCGTATATTACAGATGTATTAATTAATTACTTTATTACGTAAACAGATATTTTTTAAAATTATATTACAATTAATAAGGGTTTTTATGAAGAAAAAAATATAAGCAATACACTTCCAAAATATGTCATCAACGTTTTTATAATTGAGATATTCTTTAAACTTAAACGAATATGGAAATGCGTTTTATTTTTTTCCTTGGGCAAATAAATTCAGAGCTGGTCGTCTTCATCATTAATGGAATTAAAAGTGTTAATTTTATGGTAATTTTATGGAAGTAGATATCTTGTGCCAACCTGCTGTTATTCTCGAAAGGGCTGTAAACGAACCTTGAAATTGATCCCCAGTCCCTTTGCATCCGGGGATGCGACCGGATCGCTGCCACTTTTCTTCCATTCTTGCGTCTTGGTGGGCAAATTTTCCAGGCCGTTCGGCAGAAGGACGTAGGCCATATTCGCATGAATCCCATTCGTTAAGGCACAATGTCGCTTAATTTCCGAAAGCACTTGGCGCGCAAAGCCAAGCGGGTGGCAATTCAATCGCGATGCGCGCTCTATGAAAATGGAGTTTAATTCAAGCTCCTCCGTGTCGACGGAGCTGGTGGATGAAAACAGCAACAACGGCGACGACGGCGATGATGATGGCAATGATGTCGAAGCGACGTCGCGCCTCGCTATTACCCTTATTCTCGTTTCATTCTCATTTCACATGAATTATGATGGAATTACGATCGCAAAAATTTTATTAATTATTGTGATAACAGCATTTCTCGAATTTGGAATTATGGATTATATATATTTCTATGATATTGGCTTGTAACAAAACAAATTTTAGCATTGAAATAATTATAGAATATCTAATTAAACAGCTTTTTGATGATTAGATTTTATTAGCAAATTAAATAATTTAGATAAATTCAAGAAAAAGATTATAAATTTAAGAAACTTTTTATAGGTACTTTTTAGAGGTTTAATTAAATACTAAAGTACACTTAAAAATTATTGAATATAAATCTATCAATAAATATCTCTTGTATATTTTACGATAATTTTTGCTGTATATAAGTGTACGTATATTCGTAAACTGTATGAAAGATTTTTCCCTGTCTTGGAACATCTAATTAATTTGTAATATCTCAAGGGAGAGACAGAAGGAGACAGGAGCGATTCACGAGTACAAAGTTACGTGGGGGTATCTCAATTGAAAATCGTTCTCGTTCACTATCTCGTCGCTATCGCTATCGGAAAGTCTCGTACGGAGAAGTCGCTCTCACCGGGACGCAGTTTACCCCTCGGTAATTTCCCCTGGCATTGAGGAATGTGAAAGTCGGCGATTCTTCGCGTAGACCATGGAAGTGAAAGACAGAGAGAAAGATGGAGAGAAACGTGAGCGACGCGATATAAAATCGATCCTTCGACGTCATGAAAGACGAAGGAGCATCGCCGTCGACATCGTGCCGTCGTCGACGAGATGCAGTCGACCGTCCACCGGATGGAAACAAAGGATAACGAGGCGCGAAAATCGCTTAACGCGATTGGCCATCGATCCGACGGAAAACTTATCTCGCCCGTCGTTGCTCACTCGCCGAGCCAATAAAGGAGAGATCCCTCGGCCTTTCCGCGGGATTAAATATCTCGGGGCAATTTACCTCCTTCGATCTTTCCTCTCCGCACCTTCCTTCTCTTATCCATTCTTCTTTCTTTTTCTCTTACCCTTATCCAGACGCCGACGCCCAGATTTCACCGCGGAGAAACGATCGCCTCTCGTTCCCGAAGCGATACGAGAAAAAGAATCCAATCGATTTGAAATTTTTTCACGCGTAGCGCGCTGTATCGTTATTGATAATAATACGATGATTCAGTTCTTGAGATCGTTGAGAAAAGCATTGGCTACAATCTTCTAGATACTTTAAGAAGCAGAGAAAAAATTAATTAATGTAATAATAAGTGAAATTATGAAATAGATTAAAAATGTACGCATATGCACAGAAGGTAATTTTTTTACTGTATATACATATATACATTTTTAGAATATAGCCTTTCATTTGATAGAATAGTTTTCAAGTATTCTAAAAAATTGTAAGATAAGTATATTTCTCATAAATTTACGAAAAATAAAAATTTCTTTTAATCATATATTCGAGATGGCTTAGTTTCAAAAATATCCGCTTATCTTTCTGCTCTTGATTGGTTAAAAAAATAATATTAAAAAATGAGCTTTTAAAACACAAAATCATATCAAAATAACCCGAGTGGTTTCCGAAATTTTTGGAAAAACGAATTTTTCTTTCATGTATTTGTTTTGTCATATATATATTTCGTTTATCTTTCATTTTCTATATCTTTTATTTTCAGTTATTTTATCATGTATAATTTGCAGTTAATTACATGATTATTAATGCATTTTTTTCTAAATATTATTTAATTTCTTGTAATATCTTACAAGGTTTTCACACAGAGAAATCAAATTTTTCAAATGACTATAGTTCATTACATTGCAGCGACTGATCTGCACACTGTGCATAATTTTTAAATGAAGCGAGTCATAAAATTATGAAGTATATCATATTACGATGTGTGTGATTCGATCAATTGAAAATGAATTTTGGAGCATTGTAATTCTTCTCTTTTTATTGCTGGTGAAGACTTTATCTGAACATTATGTCTCTCGTACAGTGAAAAATAAATTACAACGAAACTAAAATAATTGCATAGGATGTGTTCGCAGAAATTCTACGAATGAAGGGATAATATCGACTAAAATCTGAAAAACAGAGAATAGAGCTTGATAATTATTATTTGATCAATAAAATACGTTTAGGTCGCTCCATAAAATTTGACGAGGACCTGTTAATTGCCTTTGATAGGATCGCGCTAACATCTAAGGAACTATTCGGGAGACTGAATTCCGCCTCATAAACCTGTCGCACCTTGCAAAATAATCGGGCATTACTTATGAGATCGCTGTGATGCATGTACCAGCGAGTCTTTTGGAAAAATATCGGGCTCTGCTTGCCGGTGAAGGCGGCAACTTTTTGTGAATGCAGTCGATAGTCTACGAACAATGTCAAAGTAGACTTCCTGTGTGTCGGAGCTGCGCGCGGATGTCGGAAGAGGAGAGGAAGAGAGTGGAAGGGCTCGATATTCTTTGTGGCCGTTTCAAGGTGGAAAGGAGCTTCCTTTCTTTCTCTTTCTCTCTTTCTCTCTCTCTCTCTCTCTCTCTCTCTCTCTCTCTCTCTCTCTCTTCTTTCTTCTATCCGCTTCTTCGTCCAAGCGGAAAGAAACCGCATCGTTCCTTCCCATGAAGGACTAGATCCTTCGTCCTTACGTCCACGGCATCCAATAAACCAGTAGAAATAAAAGGATCGCGCTGAGCATCGTCCTTGTCCGTTGTCGATGCATGCAACAAGGAGTGAGAACGTTTAGAGAAGCGTTTAGGTTCTTGCTTGTACACCAGAAAAGAAAAACTGCCGCTGCGGTCTCCCGGAACACCTCCGAGCGGCTTCCATCGGTGTAACTTCTCTCCCCATCGGTCAATGTTCCGGAACGAGCTTCGTAAATATAGTTTCTTGCAAATTTCCTCGCTCCCTCCCTCCCACTCTTCATCTCCTTCCTTCCCTCCTGTTTGGTTCTCGCATCCATCCGCCCGCTGGCGTTTACCAAGTAATATTATACGATCGACGCTTACGTCGCTTGCGCGAGCAGCTACGAGGAGCTTTTGAATAGATTTTCCGATCTATCGGACAATCTCAGGACCCACCAAGACAAACTCGCGCGAAACAGCTTCTATCGTTACATCCGTG